CAGCAAGGTTTTCTTGGACTGTGGCTTGGAATTTGTAACTCAGGATCCTTTTTTTTTTTTTTTTTTCTTCTTCTTTGCCCTTTGTTTTAGGCTGCGGAAATGAGATCCTGATGGATAACAAGACAGACAAGTGCTAGTTAAAAAAGGACAGCCAGATGATGGAAAAGCAGCCCAAAATCACTCTTGGACTCCTGTCCTTCTTCTGATGTGCTCAAGGTCAAGCAATGAGTTAGCGGAAGAGCCAAAGTTAGAAGCCTGTATTCCCAGCACTCTGCTTTCATGGTACAGGCTTGATTTCCCAGAGCATGTCCTTAGCTCCAGTTAACTTCACTGAGAGGACAGTTGCAAAATAGCTTTGACAAATTGGGGTTGAGGTGCTGCTGATTCTCAAAACAGTTTATCAGCCATAAACGCTGGGTCTGTGATGTGTGCTGTGCAGCCCAAGTTTTCAGGCTTTATCCTGCACTCAGATACAAAGCACAGCTTTTTTTCTGAAATTGCATTTCTTTTCATGCCATGTGATTACAGATATATTCTGACTTGCTATTTCCATTTCTCTTATGTATTAGTAAAAAGGAAAAAATGGTTGGGAAGAAAAAAATCACTGTAGCTTTATTTCTATAAAAATTCATTTCATATGCGAAGTGTTACACTGCTCTGGGAAAAGTGACACCAAAGGACTTACGTGTAATTATGTCTATGTGTTATGAATATACAAATACACACAAAGAGCCTGGTGAGCTAATGGTAATAAAGAGACAAAAAGTGGACGTGACATTTACCCAGTGCAATAAACACAGGTCAAAACTAAGTTGCCACGGGATTATTAGGAGCACATTTACAAAAGGAATCGCTTTACATGGCCAACAGTCTCGCTAGCCCAGTATCTTGTCACCACACAAGCACTCTTAGGAACCCTGGTTCCCAGAAATATTTTAATCCTAGTACCCTTTCACTAAAAATAGGTCTAAAACCCAAAATTGAAGAGGTTTTTTTTTTTTTTTTTTTTTTTTTTTTTTTTTTTTGTCAGATTTATTAACCTGGCTGGAACTTTTTGTTATCTGGCCAAGTATCAAGTCCTTAAAAAAGTATCTACTATGTTCTGGGCTCCTGACATCTCCTGGAGCAGTGAATATCTTAGTTACCTGAATACATGCATATAAAATCATCTTTTTTTCATTAGCTTTGAATTTTCCACTTTCCTATGTCTTTGAATTTCCCCATGTTCTGGTAATGGAGACTCATCATGTTCACTAGAAAAGGATCAGTGAAGGCAAGAGCTGCAGAACAGATACCTGCTCTTACAAAGGTGCCATGTTTCTGTACAGGAGACACCACCCCAAAAAGCAGCTCTCATGCTTGCCCCTGCTTTGTACATGTCCTGTGTTGATAGACCCCAGTAGGCTGAACATCACTCAAAGTGTGTGGGTATCAAAGTATGCAGAGATACTGCTCCACATGAACTTCCAGGTGGCCAGAGAATGCCAACTGCAAGGAGTGCATCTACTCTGGCTCCACTTCCCACACTCACATCAGAAATCTGGCTTACACTTGGCTGCTTTGCATGAGATGTGGTCCCTCATATGAAATAAACATGGTCAGAGTGGCCTGGCTCCACCCACCCCCAAAGATGTATTTCCATGTAAATGCAATGGGTGCTTCCAGTCACTGGTGTTCTAGAGCTACTAGACCTTCCCGTTTCTTCTCACGGGACTAGAACTGAGGTCAACAGTTCCCCCAAGTGTTATGGGCATCTTTGCCCATCACAAACAATGGCTAGGGAAAAGGGTACCTCACCAGGAAACCCCCAAGGGCTGACCACCCCGCTTCACGTCCCTTTTTTTTGGCAAGATTTCCATGCTTATGCTGGCCCAGCAAGCCCAGATTGGGAAGAGGCCCTTTTGGGCACCCCATAGCTGGGTCCCAGCACCTCTTCACTTGCATCTATCTGCTCAGCCATGTGTCAGATGAACTGGGGCAGTGATTGCTGCTCGGGCCCCTTCTTGGAGACAGCTTGCTCCCACCTGCCGAGCTCAGCCGGGCACTGGTGAGTCAGGGGCCATGCCTGCCCATTTCTCCACATTGTTTCACGTTCAGTTAAAAACAAAGCTGTCAGTAATTAACAAAACATGAGAAATTTGAGAAACCAGATTTGCCAAGATGCTATTTTAGCAAATGAAAATGGTGCCACTGCCGAAGTCATCACTTCTCTTCTCCCCCTCTCCCCCCACCCCACCCCCCCGGAATCAGTGGTGTGCTGTGAAATTGAAAAACAGTGTGCAGGAAGAAAGTGAGGTTCAAAGAGAGCTGTGGTTTTCAGTTTGTTATACTCCCAATGCAAGACATGCCATAAACAAATTAATGACACTGTCTAAAAAAAATCTTGTTTCTCTGATTTTTTTTTCTTGCTGTCTGGGCAATAATAAGCAAGCTGGTCTTAATAAAACAAAGCAACCACCTACCAAAAAGTTTTGTGAAGAAATTATCATCCTCTTCCTTTAAACAGAAGGAAATCCAGGCTGGCGGAGTTGTAGTAATTCATGAAATGTAGTTTGCAGGCCAGGAATGAAATCAAGTACACAGCTCAAAGGGCCCGGTCTAGCACATTAACTGCTGGAGTGTGATGTTGTCCTTTCCAGTGGATGAGCCTGGCTGCAGGATGGACTCCTGACATTGGACATTATTACAGGCCTGAGTCTGCATGACATGCATGTAGTGTTTTAAGATGTGCATAATTCTTGTATCTCACAAACAGTAAGTGGAACTGTCACCACAGTTGCTTAGAATTAGAGAAAAAACAATGAACACTATACTCTATAAAAGCTTATTGTCTAGACTTGTATACATTTGCAGAAGGTACATATTCCCTAGTCTTTAGGCTTTGCTTTGAGTTCAACAGCGCTACCAAATGACCTTGCTATTTCTTAGAATTTAGGCAGAAGTCAGGTACTGCCCAGAATGAGATTCCCTAGGAGTTTTGTTACAGGAAGAGAGCTGTAAGAGGTCAGACATTAAACAGGGTGGAAAAAGCAATATTAAAAGCCTGTTGGATTCATCAGAAATTTTCAGTCTGACTTCTGTGGTCACTGGATGGAGCTGTGAAAGAACATTTTGATTTCACATTTCAGTATTCAAACTTTAGGATCTCAAAGTTACGCTATTTACACTGCTCAGATTTGATAGTACTAAGGTTATCTACTATTCTTCTTATACTTTATTCTACCCAGTCTAATAGGAGACAACTTCTTTTTAAAGCCATATACTAAACCTTGATGAATTAACTTAATGTTGAGATACTAATGTTAAACTTTCTGAAGTAATAGATTAGCACATTTTTGTTGATTCATGGTAACATTTTCTATAGTGCTTGAGCATTTGAAGAGTTCAAACAAATTAAAATGAATTTAAGGCCCTTTGAAAAAAGGGGACATTTTCAAAGGTGTCCAATTCAGATACTCTTTTCCAATTAGAAATGAAAGAGAACCGAGTGTCAAGTTTCTGGAAGTAGTTTTGAAAATCTCACCTTTAATTCTTTTTATGGGCAGTACTTCAATATTTTTCCACCCCGATACATTTATGCAAGAACTGTCACTCCATCTTGCTCTTTTAATAGTTACTTCCACCATACATAGGAAAACTGCAACACTCGCATAACTCCTCCACTGAAATATATGCTGCAACATCATACTTCTCAACATATGAGACAACCTGCATCAGGGACCTGACAGAATTTTCTGAGGTGCTTTAGCTTCTCTCCAGTTCCTCTCCCTCCTCTTGGTGGTTGTTTCTTATCACAGACGGCCCCTTGAAATTAAAACAGTCTGCCACTGGCTCTGAGTATGTATATGGACACAAAGTTGACCTGTTTTTCTTGGTAGTGACCCATCTAGGCTGAGAACTTTGCTGAGGACTTTTATTCCATCGCGCTCCTTCAAGAGGGCTGTTGACACTCCATGTATCTGATGCACTGTTAACATGGGCATTGTCTTTCATGATTACTCTGACTTCGTCCTAGAGGCATTTCCGTAATTATTTTATGCTAAGTAGAACAGCTTCTTCAGGTGTCAATGAAACTTCTTTGTACCACTTCTAACAGTGCACATAGAAGCATTAGTTTTCCTTCTAGCGTCCCTTCAGAATTGGGTCTTTCATGTCTGAAGTTACTGGGTACATAAACACGTCAAGTGCAAGTTAGGTATGCTCTGGGAGTGTCTGTTAGGTTGGGCATGCCAGGGGAAACCCAGAGCTTGAGAAACCCTCCAGACCTTCAATGTGAGTTACATCTCTGAGCAGCTCAACAGTTACACAGCTAAAATAGTTGTGCAGGTCAGCACAAAGGGAAAGGTGTCCGCTGGAGGGCTTTGGGTTACACCACAGTTAGTGGGCAATTGGTGTTATCGGAAGAAGGTCTATGTTGTTCAGATACCGAAGTCAGACAGCGCTCAGAGATTCTGTTCAGGTTGCTGATTATCCACACTAAGATAATTGCTTTTCCTAGCCCAACCCTAGGTGTTTGTCATGACTGGTAGATAGCCAATCTCTGTCACATCTCCGGGCTTAAATTCCAACATAGCAAAGGCAAAACAAGCTTGTTCAGGTTCAACATTTTTGATAGGTTTATTTTTATACCTAGAACATTTTGGCCGCTTGGGGAGTGACAGCAATACTGACAGAACTGAACTGGAAGGGAAGATGGAGGCAAATGACAATGAGAAAGTTAACTGATGAACAGCTGAGAACAGGCTGAATTTAGTAATCTATTAGTCCATATCAGCTGCAGCCAAAACTGCTATTTTACATCTGATTACAACCTTTGTCTTTTAAAGAGCTCTGAGTCCCTTGCTGGATCTTAGCAGTTTCAAGAAATTATCTGCTATCTGCATATTCTTCATTGCTTAGGTTTACAAGTAAGATATTCCTCACTGCTCCTCCCTCAGACACTCTGGAGACATGAGACAGACGATTCTAGTCTGGATCCATTCCACTCCAATTATCCACAGTTTTTTTGTAATGCATTTTTAATTTAAATAAATCAGGAGGTTCCATTTAGCATGTTGCATTTGTCTTGGCATACACTTCACACATGCAGAAACTCTATATTAAAGTTTTCATACAGCCGTTAGCAAAAGAATCAGCCAAATGTATCCCTGGTGTAACTCTACTGACTTAAGTGAAGTTTCACCAGGGGTATCCCTGTTCTGCTGATCTGTCCCATTCATTCTCATTCCAAAACACAAAACCCAAGAAAATATGTTTGCATTTAGTTAATACAATATATTCCCTCTATGATACACATTTAATCCTCTGCACTTTTCTTCATTGTCTGCCATATTCCTTGTTCATTTAAAGGAGTCATTTTCACATTTATATATTGTTCTGGTTTTATATCACATGTTGTAACAACATAGATGTTGCAAGAAGAGGCAGTGGGAAGTCAGGAGATGTTAAACTTTAAGTTGCCATTTGCCCCATGCACACAAGTAGGCAACCTTGAGTTGAGTCAGTTGGCACCAGCAAACATAAGAACAGCTGGGGTCCCTTGGGTGACGAATTACAAGTGCCAGTCTTCAAGAATCAGTTCTTGGTTCTGTTTTGATATAAGGGTTGGAGCAGCAGCATCAAAGAGATGAGAAGCAGCAGATCCAGTAAAAGCATCTTGGTCTAGTAGTAGATAGGTGGGCAGGACTTCACTTGGCTTATAACCTGGTGCATTGCATTGCCTGGGCGATCCTATCTGGACACTGTCATGGCTCCATGTTTGCTGGCGCAGGTGTCCAGGTCCCTATGAACACCGGGTAAGCAGAGTACAGCTTGCTACAAGAGTCAGTTGAGGAAGAATTAGAGCAGAGTGACATCAGTCAAAGAGGTGAGACTTGAGTGAGCTCCCCATCAAATTATTTCTTGCCTCTCTGCTATCAAACACTTTTATCAATGTCACAGATGGAAACATAACTGCATTACAGACTAAGTCCACCCTGGCAAAAAGAGTCAATGGGAGTGATAAAATCACAAATCACCAGTCTGGAGCACTTGCGAAATTAGGCACAAGCAAATGACACGCCTGTGGATACAGACCTGTATATACCAACAGAGGATTCTTCACACTGAAGAGGAGCACAGGTTATTCGAACAGCCAGTGCTCAAAAGTGTTGTAAATGACAAAGTAGGTGGCTTCCTGGTGGCATAAACTCTCATGGTGGTGCTCCAGCCATTGCAATGCTCAGTTGTATTAACAAGAAATACTGTTTCTCCTGCCATCACTAGGTCTCCTATGTATTTGTTAGCAATGTGATACCTGTAGTACTGTGTCTATTCCTGCATATCAGAGCTCCGGAGAGCATTCAGAAAAGATCCATTTAGGGGAATGACAGTCCCAGGACACATGATTAGGGCACAGACCTGAAGGTGAGAGGGTCAGGTAGATCATGATCATCAAGGAGATGGTAAAAGACACATGCACCATCAAAACAGGCAGCATACGCCTCATGATGAGTGGGCTTTTCAGTTCAGAAAATACATAATATCATTCTGTGGTTGGAATTTAAAAACAAACTCGGAGTAAAACTGACATACAGATTTTTAACATTCAGGATAATTAACCAGTTGAATTATTTCCCAAGGGCTAACAGAGTATATATCATTGGAAAACTTTTCAAACAAGACAGATTTTTTTTTTCCCCAAACATATATGTTCTCTTTCAAGGAGGAATTAATTGAGGCCAGTACTGCAGTCTGCACAATACAGGAGATCATACTAAATATAACCCTTAAGGTCTGGCCATCTTTTATTGGGCATAGAGGCCCAAAAGCAGGATTGTAGATACATAAAAGTAGTCTTATTTACTGCTAACACAAGCAGCAGTGGGCCAGGACTAACATTATTAGGCTAAGCATTCATATGCTCAGTATCCACAGGGCAGTCACCTTGTGAGTCTCTGCCGGCCAAGGTGCTGTCAATCAAGGAGAAACCTGTCAACCTCTGTTTCTCCTTAGAACAGGCTGATCCCCAGCCCTGCTGATGCACTGCCTTCCTCCTCTCTGCCTCTTCTCTTAGGGTTTTCAGATCTTGTCAAGTCAATGATGGTTTTCTGCTTTCTTTCCCTGCTGAATCTCTGATGCCTCTACTTCTCCACTACAAACTGTTACTAAGTGGTACTGACTCAACAAGCTCACCTCTGTGGTCCCTCTTTGTTTGTGCCTTCCTGCCTCGCATGGCATAGCAGCTTACAAAAAAATCGTTCAATTCCAGATTAAAGTGGGAGTGACAGCTACAGCTCATCTCCATGAAAACTGAACCCTGAGTCACATAAACAGTCCCAGTGGTACCTTTTCATTTTACAGTCAACAAACATAAAAGGTAGCTACTCCAAGACTTTTGTTTGCAGACTGCATCACATATATCTTAACGAAAAGTGTCTGCCCAGCCTGCTTCTGCACAAAGTTTGCAAGCATACTCAGAGCTGCAGACAGAAGGAATGGTTCCCACCCTACCTTCATGGAACATGAGCCACAACTATGGAAAACTGGAAAGTCAGTAAGTAAAAACAAATTCTGCTGCTGTACCTTCAGTATTTACTAAAGGGTGTGTATGAGGCATGTGCTTTAGACCTCACAGAGGAAACTGATGTTAGCCAAATAGACAGTGCTAAGTACTGCTCTGCTCTTATGCTTCCTTTTGCTTATCTTTCATACTAACTTTACTCAGAAAACCCAAAGGCATAGTTGTGGTTGGAGGTAACACACAAGCCAAAGTTCAAACATCTACACAAATTACCCAATGTGTTAGAGTTGCTTACAAGCCATAACAAAAAGAGTGCATTCTTTCCCTGTTCTCTGTAAGTCAAAACTTAAACACAAACCAAAATCCATCAGCTTCAGTTTGCGTCTTTCAAGGGATATATAAAATTTTGGGTAAAATGTTGACAGAATTATAAACATTCTGCAAATATTGTATAAAATAGAAGTATTTTAACTTACGAGCTTCTCCAGAATGTAAAGCAAAGGATTTTCTAGTACTGACAAGAGGCATCCTACTCAGTCCTTAATGTCCTGCTTCATAAGCCTCTGTAGCATGCCATGGTCCTGCTAGTTACACAGAACCTGTGCCTGCACCCCACTCAAAACTGTTACTGCAAGCAGAGGAAAAAAAATCCTTCAGCATTAGTGGATGAAAAGTCAGCCCCAAACCGTTTTTGGTGTATAGGTAAGTAATGTTTGTTCTGGCTGTAGTATCTCTTTTAAATGTTATATGTTGGAGTGCCTGGAAACTTCACTAATGGCTGTGTGAGAAACTGTGACAGATGGATTACAAAGATAGATAATACTGGACGTTTTTATATATCTGTAACCTGATCAAAATATTTCATTTTTATTCTAATGGATAACTTCAAAGAGTGAAAAGACAAGGGGGGGGGGGGGGAAGGGAAACACAACAAAAACAAAACATAAGCAGAGATGCAAAAAAGTCTGAGAAGACAATGAAATTAATTACACATGCACCCGCATCAGTTTGAAGTAACATTCAATTGAAATTTCAACAAGGATGATACTGGGGCTTGAGCACCAGTCACCACACCACCATGTACAGATGGCATGTAGAGTTAACAAGTGATTTTTTTTTTTAATATATATATGGATAGATAGATAGATAGATAGATAGATAGATAGATAGATAGATAGATATGAAGCTCAAGGGAGATGAGATCAGATTCATCCCTCTTGTACTGCCTTGAGTTTGACTGCTCCAGTGGAACTGCCACACCTTCACACCTTCACAGCCTACATGGCTGCACCCTGCCATCCCCTCTCTAATGTGTTAGAGATTAACACATTCCCTGCAGGATTGCCCACACCTTGAGGAAGGTTAGGATATACCACCAAGGTCTCTCCAGACTCCAAAATCTCCCCGTGGAAACATTCTTCAGTGGGATGCCAATGCTTTCAATCTGGCTCTCAAGGGAGAGCCCATGTGATGCATTTGGCTAAAAATGAAAAGCACAAACCTGAATGCCACTTAATGTTTTTATGCTTATGAGACAACTACCTCCACTTCTTCAGTTTGTGAAGGAAAAGTAAATGCAACTTGTCTCTTCTTCTTCACCTCCTCACCCAAGGAGGTGTTGGTGAATCAGCACCAGCATGGTTCTCAGAATTGTGCAAATATTTTTTACTTCAGTTCCTTTTTCAAAGACTCAGAAAGATTACAGGGTAACTGTTCTCCAAGCAATTTGGTGATTTTGCTTCTAACAGAAATGCTACAGGGCAGAACTGTGCAAACAATTTGTTAGTTTTGCTTTAAATTTAAGCACTTCCATTCTCAGAGAGACTGTTTCAGTCTGAACTTCGAGGCAAGGTTAGAGTTGTTTCTTATTTAAAAGTGCTCATCCATTCTCAGTCACAGTAATGGCTCTGAGCACAGCATTACTTAGGTGTACGCCTAGGGTGTATGTATATGTGCATGTATGCATCCTATTTTTGAGCTATTTTAACTTACACTTCATATTCTTGTGCTTTTTGATAAATAGAGTTTATGTCAGAATAATTGGCCCGAGGATTTTTCTTTCCAGTCCACTACATTTCTGAGGTACAGCTACATGGGAGATAATGGAAATGCCTCTAGAGTATCTGTCTGACAAGGGAAATAGCAAGAGTAAGGAGTGAACACGAAACAGGGACCTTGTCAAAGAGTGTGCACGTGAATCAGTCCAATCAGTGACTGTGGGTAACGTATCTGAACAAATTGAAGTTGACACAATGGTCAATTTGACTGGAGAAAGTATAATTTTGGATTAGGGTGAACACCTTTAATCTGTCAATTGTGGCAGTCTTAAACCTGTAATTGAAAGAGCACAGCACTGCTTTTCTCCAGATGTCAGTCAAACCCATTCACCCTCTTCTGATCACTGATCAGTTTGCAGTCTCTTCTGCATTCACTTATTAGACTCCTATTTATTTCCTCTTTTAGACGAAATACTTTGCTCCACTTTATGAAAATCTCAATCTAATAAGGAGAGCCTTTCAGAATAACACTTGGATTCACCTGATTTTCAAGCAGATGGTATTCAGGGCACAAGAAAGAACAAAACAGAGTATCACCATGTGTTTAATTTTAGCTCTCGCTCCCTCAATTCCCGTCTCAACCAACAAATGCTATCTTATTTTCAGTCTGCTTGTGTGCCTGAAAAGTGCCAGCCCAGCCACTCTGGAACTACAGCTGTGTCTCTCTAAAGCAATTCAGAATGGGGTAATTTCTGCCCAGGGAGTACCAATCCGAGAAGAGAGCTGAATTTCCAACTCAACTTATGTGTCCCTCCTGCCCCAGCCTGGGACAGGTAGGTGAATTGGTTTCCACAGAATTCTCACCCACTGACCTGTCTGTGAAATTACAGACCAAAGACACTGACTCATAGGATGCAAAGATCACTTAACAGCTTCAGAAGAAGACGTACTCCAACATTGTGCATTTGCAAGTTCTATGATTTATCAGGAGAAATGTTCATATGATGCTCACAATCTCCTAAGACTTTTACCTCAACATCAACTCTTCCATTGTTCAGATTAAAGCAATGTGAAATGCAGAATGAAATTAGCCTGACCTTGCAATAAACAGATAACAGAATGACTTGCTGTGTGAGAGGCCCTCCAGTTCTATTAAGCACCTCAAGCAAATTCAAGATGAGTGTTTCCTTGTCTTTGCTCATGCTGTAGGCATGCCATACCCCATGCCAAAATCCTTCTTTGAATTCTGAACCTCAGATTCTCCACAGAAATTTGCATTTTAGC